TAATTATCTTCCTCCAGAACTCCATCTCTGAATCCCATACTACCCAGTCTAATTGAACACATGAAAAATAATAAGGCATGAACAGGTCTACCTCGAGGTAATGAAGATGGAAGTTTTGAATGCATTTAAAATTTTTTAATCCTTATGTGGGTTGTCTTATTTTCTGCACCATGTGCATTTTGCGCAGGTAAAACCTTTTTAATTTCTTTCCAATTTTTAAAATTTCAATAACACCCGTGTCCTTGATTGCAAAAAAAAGAAATAGAAAAATTCAGAAGCACATAAGAAGAGTGTAGAAATAATCCAAATATATGAGTAATCCCCTTTGGGTTACCCATTATCTTTATGTATATGGCGTCTGATATTTCTGCCAGTGTTTCTTCACCTTTCCCGAAACTTATTTCTCTTCCACTTAGGGCATTTGTACATATGTGTCTTCATTTCTGAAATTCTTTTTTGCACAAACTCAAGTGTGCCGAGTTCTGTATTCATATTTGTACTCATTTCATGCAACGTCTCTCTTCGCGTGTGTGTTTTAAAAAGTATCGCCAATATCTTCGGTGAAAAACTCTTTGTGTCTCTTGTCTAAGATCTTGAATCTGTTTTTCTGTGTTTGATTGAAAATCTAGGCCTTTTCTGAGTTTCTTTATGATGGTTATTCTAAAATCTTTATCTGTTAGGCCCTTGAATTCTGAGTTCTTCATGTTTAGGTTTCTGGACTTCTAATCTAATCTTCTCTTTCATCTTTTCCATCTTGTCTTTAGATGCTTTTGTGTTCCTAGGAATGGATGTTACCTTAGTTGCTTTTCATGACTGGGACTCTGTGTCTTTAATATCTTCATCTCCTTTGTTTAACTTGGCCGCAGGTGAGGGAGGGAGGGAAGCTGGGGTCCGGAGGCCCAGTCTCAGTCACCGTGTGGAAGAAGAGCTGTTCCAGGGAGTCCTAACTCTGCTTCTTGCTTCTTTGTTTTCCAGAGCAAGCGCTGTTGGCTGCCTCACAGGGTGGAAAGTCTAGTGCCCAAAGTCTTTGCCCCTCCTCGCCAAGGTGCACAGTAGGTCTCTGTTCTCCCAAAGGGAGGGGAAATGGAGTCAGGCGCTGGTGCAGCCAGCAGCCAGACTCCTTCCTCACTGAGCAAATCCACCTGTGGCCACGTCTCCATCTTGTTGGGTTACCTGGAATGGCTGCTGCTCTGGCCATGACTCCAGGCCTCTCCTCTGCCATCACCTCAGAGTGACGAGCCCCCAACCCTCATAGACAGTATCTGTGGGTCAGTTTCCCACAATAGACACTGAACAGGTGACATTTCCTGTGAGCAAAATTTCATTTTCTCTTGTTGTACCATGAGCCAGGCCCGCCCAAACCACCCTGTCTGGCTCTATTGTGGGTGGAGCCATAAACTCAGTCCTAGATGCAGGTTTCTGTAACAACCAGATAAAACAGAAAAATAAATTCTTGCTAATATTTCCCAAATCAACAACAATAAGTAACCAACAACAAAACACTATCAAAATACAGGTCTTTTATGAAGGAAATTGCAACACTTTATTTTAAATTATTAAATAAGATATCTGTCTATATTTTTGTACCAATGTGTCTACCTATATATGAAGAAGTGAATTCTGTTGAAGTTTACCTAAAAATTCAAAGTGCTTCCAGCTTGATTTTTTATGAATGTGAATAAACCAGTTTTAAGATATGGATGGAAAGGCAGGCATGATAATGTGGTGTGTTTGCCCAACCAAATGTAACAGCATGTGTTGTCACAGAGAAAGACAATTTGATCCAATTAGAGCAATTTGATCCAATTATAAGACCAGAGAACCTAGACACAGATTTTTCTCTATTTCTAATTTGTCTTTTGGAAGAATAGGTATAAAAAAGAAGGGGGAAAAAACAAAACAATGAAATCACGCTGGGAAAAGTAATTAATTCCTGTGGGGAAAAATGAAATTGGAGTCTTATCTTAAATCATGACCAAATCAATTCCAGGTAGATAAAAAAAAACTTGATATGAAATCCAATATTTAAAACAAATACTTGAGAGAAACTGCCACAGATTATTTTCATATTCTGATATTAGAGTCTGGAAGCATCTCTTAGTATAGTTAATATGCATTTTAAATAAAACACTGCTATTTAACAAAAGACACCATAAACAAGCAGAATGAAAGGATATCCAGGGACTAGAAGGAAATATTTCCAGCACATACAACTGAAAAATGGTCACTAATATTTAAGAAATTCCAGTGACTCGAACGGCAGGAGAAAACCCAACAGAAGTTCATAGAAAAACTGACAAAAGACATGAATAAACATTTCACAGAAGAGGAAAAAGAAAACGTTCATATGCACATGAAAAGGTTAAATCATTAGTAATTAACCAGAATCCCACTTTGCATATTTGTATGTTAAACCACTACGAGAGATTTCACAGCCACAAATTGGCAAAACTTTTCAAAGCAAGAAACCACCAAGCTATTTACAAGGACACAGGACTAGAGTTGGCAAACATTTCCTGTAAAGGACCAGATAGTAAATATTTTCAGCTTTGCAGGCCATAAGTTCTCTCCTCTCTTCCACGGCATCACAAAAGCAATCGCAGACAATATGTGATCAAATAATGATTCTTGGGGGCCTCCCTGGTGTGCAAGGGGCTAAGTCTCAGCACTGTGAAGCTCCGTCCCTGGCCAGGAGCTGACCCACATGGCGCAGCAGACCTCTCCTGGCTCCCCGCTGCTCCCCTCAGCAGTGGATTTCAGTAGATCCACCTGTTCTGCTCCCCGCTCTGTCTCTGGTGGATCCTCTCACCTCCCCCCCACACCTCTGGCCTACACCCCAGCTCTTGTATGCATAAATAAATAAATCTTCAATCAATCAACCAATCAATCAAGGGAAGATCTGGGCTGTTCTGTGGAGTACTGATTATAGGAATTCAAGAGTGGCCTCAGATTAGAGAAGAGGCTTGTCTATCAACCCATGTGAAGGGTGATGACAGCCAGCATAGGGGAGCTGGGAGCTGGGAAGTGAGGTGTGGAGACTGCTGGGAATCAGCCTATATTCTGAAAATAGAGCTGACAGGACTCGCTGGTGTGGGAGGTGGGTTGTGGACTGTGAGGGTAAGAGGAGAGAGCAGGGGAAGGCCTAGGAGCTGGCGTGAGTGGCTAGGTAAAAGGGGGTGCCTCCAGCTGAGGTGGCATTCACAAATCATTTTGATGGTCAGTCCCTGGCCTCAAAAACTCAATTCACATCAATGAAAAGTCAGCAAACACGCACACACACACACACACACACACACACACACACACTCCCATACAACACACACAGGCACCTCTGACAAGTGTGGTACTAGAAATAAACTCAGGAATTCTTGATCTCTGTATTTTCCATAACTTTTGCTTAAGAGTTTCATCGATGCCTTTAGCATAATAGACGCGTGAATGATGCGACCTGTTTTGAGATACCTAGTATTTCAGTGCTGGCTGATTGTGTAAATTTATTTACACAGCAGCATATTCTTCGTAATTATATATTGTGCAAGGATTGTTTGGCACCACCCAATGTGTTCTTCTTTGTCCATGTAAATATACGGGAAAGTAGCCTGCATTTTTACAAATTTCCAAACAGGCCCCAGGCCACCGTGGTTATCCAAGATTGAATCATAGTGTCTTTTCTGTGTTCCCTAAGACTCACCTCTGCTTGAAAGAGCAGGGCGGGAAGAGAGAGGAGTTTCTTGCACAGAGCACAGGGAGGGTTTCATCACCCAGAGGAAGAAACCCTATGGAAGGTTCCACGGTAATAGGAGAATGAGTCTCCCGCAATGCCAGAGTAGCAACTTGCTGATTCTCAAACTTGGAGGAAGTGTTGAAATGCAGGTTCCCCAGAATCCATCGGTAGAATTTCTGATTCAGCAAGTCAGGAAAGGGACCAAATGGCCTTGGTATTTTGCAAGCCTTCCCCAGTTTGGAGGCTAAAGGTATGCTGATCACCCCTGGAGGTACAGTACCCCCGAGAAGGTGTTTAGCTTCATTATCTCCAAAGGACATACAGAGGACTCATTCCCTATGAGGTTTTGGAACTAAGGATAATGAGAGAGGAAAGATATTTTAAAGATATTCTGACCTAAACCTCCTTTTCTTCTTTTGAGTATCAGAGTCTTAAGAAAACGATTGCTCTTCACTTCAAAGCTAGTCACATCTTTAAGAAGGAAGTGTAGTTATCAAGTATGAATTGCCTTAGGATATTTCAGTTATTTTTAATGAAGGCATATATGCTACATTTGAGTGATTGTTTAAAAGCTGATTTAAAATTTCTTTTTTTTTTTTGCCTGTGGCAAAACATTCAGAAAGAGCTTTTGTGACTGCAATCAGTTGTTCAAATGATGCATAATTCTATTTCCAATATTATTGTCTTGGACCACAAGAAGTCTAGTGTAATTACTCACAAGATGGAGAAACTGACCCTCAACTTGAGACGCTTAGCGTGCACCCTCATTAACACTGTAGGAAAAGATCCCAACTACAAGGAAAAAAATATAGTACCTTCTATTTTTCCCTTTACAAGCATATCAATTTCAATGAATAATCACAAACTTCAGGAAAATGCTCATCAACTTCTAATAGAATCCTTTTGGGACAGACCCGTGGGCATTTGACATAATTAATTATTCATGTTTCCATTAACTTCCTGTGGTAAACCTTCATTCGGTAAAATAAAGGTTTTGTCCAAATTTCCATTTTGAAGATGCAGCTTGACTTTGAAAGTTTGCCACTAAATGAGTTAATGTTCTAGGATAAATTGTTCAAATATACTTTGTTTTAAATAGCATTTAAGAAACAGCTAAAAAAAAATCCAATTTCATGTGAGTTATTTATGTTTACAGAGTCATTACATCATAGATGAGCACGCTTACTATTAGATGATAAAAGTTCAAAATGAATTTAGAACTTTTAGCTTAGGGGAGCATATGTCTGCAGCACTTCCTCTTATAATATTAGAAAAAATGGGTTTTTATCAGAATTCCGGTAAGTGCATTATCATGATGTTTATTGTATTATTCGGAATAGAAAGTATTTGTCATGGGGATGAGTGACTTAATAAATATAAACTAAAGGGCCTCCCTGGTGGCGCAAGGGGTTAAGTCTCAGCACTAGGGAGCTATCTATCCCCAGCCACTGCAGACCTCTCCTGTCTCCCTGCTGCTCCCCTCAACCGTGTATTTAAGTAGATCCACCTGTTCGGCTCCCCACTCTGTCTCTGGGGAGTCCTCTCACCGCCCGCACCTCTGGCCTACATCCCAGCTCTTGTATGCATAAATAAATGAAATAAATCTTCTAAAAAATAAGTATACATTAATATAATGAAAATATAACTTGACCTGGGTCTTTGAATGTGAGATTCTGACTCAAACTTCACTGAGAGGAACTGGGCAGAGTCCCCTAAAGAAGGGAAAGCTTCGAGATGTTTCTTGGGCAATGGATTTGAAGGGTAACCTTTTTTTAAAAGGCTAATTAGGAAACTAGAATTTAAATCTAGTCCATGTGGGACACTTTAAAAAAGTCTCCTTGTACGGCACAGGAGTTAGTAAGGCATAAAAATTAGCATTAGCTAATAAACCAAAACCAAAAGAAAATTCTGCTACCACATGGACAATAGCTCAACCAGTTGAAACATAATCTCCAGTATTAATATTTCCATTTCTCTGGGATTCTTGGATCACATGCCTCCCATTCATGGCTCCCCTAATTGGGTGCAGCCCTAGACAAAATTGTAAAGAAAGCAAAGCCTGTTTCCCTTTCTGCATCTTTTTTTCTCTTCTGATTGCCGACCACCTAGGTGCTCCTGCGAGCCATATGCAGTTTCATAGAACACGGATCCTAAAATGCCAGTGACACCTTATGGGACGCTGCTGGCGGTGGGGGTGCAGTAACAGGGCAGAACGGAACTTTTAGGAAACAGCCATGTCTGAGCACTTACGTTCCTCTCTGACGGTTGGATTTCAAGCACTATCCTGACTCCCAGGCAGGGAGGTCAACCTTTACCAGTCAGAATCCTAAGTGACTGACTCAGACAACTGTATAAGACGGATATTGTTTCCCAAACATGTACCAACGAAGAAAGGAAGGACAGAAAAGGGATTGACTGCAAACAGCCACCTTCAAGAATCACTAGACAAGTTCCACCCTTTCTTAGGGATCTCGGATTTACGGACTGGAAACCCCTGCAACATTAAGGAAGACTTTGGAGGGGAGAGGGGCAGCAGTGAAGAGAGTGCAGTGGGGAGTCAGATGGACAGGGTGGGAATCTCCACTCCCACCACAGGCAAATACCCTGGCCTCCCGCATACCTCAGTTTCCTTAAATCTGGTAACATGGGGATGATATAGGATTGCGGTAAGAAATACCTGAGTTAACACAGTGTGAGTATTTAGAGAATAGTCAACATGGTAGGAACATAATAGTCAACAAAGTTGAAAGCCATCATTTGAGTAGCTGCAAGATTCTCTCAATTCCTCTTCACCATACGCATCTATTCAAGGCAAATAAACAGAAAAGAGACATTCCTGAGTCTCACAAGGACGTAGAGGAAGAGCAGGACTTGGGGAAAGTGTCAGGAGATAAGCAATGAAAGCTAAGGAATATTTCTGTAAATAGCTCCTATTTTGCATCCCCCACCCATAGAAAAAGCAGAAATGTTCAAATGGCAGCAAGGGGTCAGGAAGAATTTTTTAATGTGGGCTAGAAAGACAGATGTTCTTGTAACAGGGGGGTCCCCAGGAAAGGGGGAGTTTCCAGGTTCCCTGCCCCATCCAAGGGAGGGTGGAGCTGAGCAGGGAGAGAAGAAGCTGCAGAGGAGACTGAGGAAGGAAGGAGCAGGATGGAGCCAGGAGGAGACCTGGAGGAGGTGCATGGAGCCGAGAGACATGTGAAGAAACTGCGCTTGTCTTTTGGTCGTGGACTGGGTGACACAGATGTGGGTGAGACCCGTGGGGAGGGGACCATGGCAGCTTTTATCTTGCTTTTGATTTTGTTCTTTTCACTCCAGACTTATCTGGTTGTTTCTGATCCTTTTCTGTGGGTCCCACTGGAAGATGCTTTAGACTTGGGGCAGCTTTGGGGCCTTGTTCTGGGCCAACCCCATTTGGATGGAGTTTTACCCACGAGGGGACGGGTCATTTTGGGTGCTTGATTTAGAAACTAGATTCTTTGCCTTTCCTGTATTGTTTCCTAATTGTATTAAAGTTCCTTCCCATTAAAGTCTCATATGTTTTGTGTCGATGCGGCGGACGGCAGAACCCATTTAGAGCAGGCAGGTTTTGGGGAGATCTGGGGTGCACCTCTCCCTGCCCTGTAACACTCTGACTGATAAAAGTTGTTCAGGCCTGAAGGAACTTTCCTGGGGGTAGGCGAGTCTGTCGGCTATAGATCCAGTTGTGCCAGGGTCCATGGGTAAGCAACTTGCCTTTTAAAGCTCCTTCATGCTCTTTGAGGATATTTCTATGGAAACATCGTTCATGAATGCAGGAACATAGTAGAAGTGTGCAAAGCTTTGGGCTAAAACCCTAAGATTTTAGCAGGGAAATACTGTCTCTCCTTGCACAGAAGCACCATGTCCTGTTGAAACCGATTAAATAACCAAAAGTCTTCCTCATTCTCAATTGAAGAAATTTATGCAGAATGACATGGTGAACATGGAAGGTGGATAATGATCCCTCTATGTAGAACTACTGGCAGGGATATTGATGCAGGGAACTTGCTCATGAAAAATTCAGGATAAAGTCACTTTAATTTGATAGGCATCAGTAAATATTGAATGTGTAAGAGGATTAAACTATAAATAACTCATATTTGAGGACTCTCCATGGTTTGGAAATGCAAATTAATTCTTTCAGGATAGTGTATAAACCCACTGTTCATCTAAGAACTGGATATTTGAGTCTTTTTAGTAAATATGCCTAATGATTCTTTTTGACCTCAAGCCATAAATCATCGCAAATTGAGTTATGGAGTAACTTTGGAGATGGCATAATAAAATTCCTATTAAAAAATCTCAGGATCTGTGTAGTCTGCTGTTATAACACATAGATTCAGGGTCTTATTAGGTTATAAGATGCTTTTCTTTGAAAATTGTAAGCAAATTTAATTTATCTTTAAAATAAAACATTATTTCCCTCATTTTAGTCAGGCCTAATAGTTGAGAGCTTACTTAATTCCAGCGTTCCATGGATCCATAATCCCAGCAGAAGAATATTTCCATAGGCAACTCACTTTATCTCCCTGAATAGTGAAAACAGCAATTTGTGAAGCAATAGGAAGTAGCACCTACGTGAGATGTTATAAAAAACTGTCATGTCGCAATGGATGGCTCTTCACCCTAGTCCTTTCCAAAATGAGGTGCAGATGTGCTCGGTGAAGCCAGTTACAGGACCCAGGACCTCTCTGCCAGGCTTCCCACCCCCAGGGTCCTCTAGAACAGACTGTCAGCATTTGCATGTCTGCATTTGACAGGACAAGCTACTATTTTCATATATTGAGATTCCAATGGAGTCTTAGTAACACTGTTGGCTGCAGGAAAAACAAAAAACAAAAAACAAAACTGTGCAGGGATTAGAAGAGAGAGAAAGCGGCCTGAGGTCCTTAAGGAAGTGGAGAAACAAGACCATTGAAAGGACAGGTGTTGGGGGATGGGGACCCTGTGAAGCCGTCCACAGCCTCTGCAGCACGAGTTCGATCCCAGGCCGGGGAGCAGCCCACAGGGCGCAGCAGACCTCTCCTGACTCCCTGCGTCTCCCCTCAGCAGTGGATTTCAGTGTATCCACCTGTTCTGCTCCCCACTCTGTCTCTGGGGAGACCTCTCATCCCCCCCACCTCTGGCCTGTACCCCAGCTCTTGTGTGCGTACATAAATAAATAGTTAGAAAAAGGGGGGCAGGGAAGACAGGCTCCACCTGGGAGGATCTGGCATCAGCACTGACCAGAGGCTTCACCCACTCCCCACCTCCCCTCGGGGCTCCCAGTCCCCAGAAGCTCCAGGCCGCGCCCAGGTGATTTCCAGTGGATCCAGTTTTGTCCACAATCCAGCTTCCCTCAGAGCACACGTTATTCCTAGAGGCTCACTTGAGAAATAAGGATAATAAAAGACGGCATATTTTTAATTTGTGGCTAAGCGAATGTTCAGATAACATTGTTTGTTTTCAATTCAAGTAATATCCCGAGTTGGCCAGCTCGGGAGAAACAGATGGGTGGCGAGCTTCGTTTTCCTAAATATTGTCTAAAGAGTGCAGACACATTCAGAGCAAGGTTTTTTCTCCCCTCTGAGTGAGGCGTGGCCTTTTCCTGAGAGAAGGGGGTTTATCTGTTTCTTCTAAAATGCCCTAATGAATGGGGAGAGACCTGGTCAGGTTACAGAGAGCAGCGGCAAAGGCATTTGCGTGTGGCACCATTATCTGCAGATTTTCTTCCTCCTTGGCCTTATCTCTTTTCCCTTTTCACAGCTCACACTCACACCAACTGCTCCGTCATCATCGGAAAGATAAAGCAAGTACCGAGTATTTAGCTTTCATTCTTGTCCTTGGATGTTAAAACTGGCAGCTTAGCACCTCTATTACTTTTTATCATGAGCTATTGCCCTTGCCAGCGCCCAAGATAAGAAAGTCTCACGCTTGCCAGCAGGAGCAAAAGCAGGAACTCTGAGAGAACACTGGGGGTGCGCTGCTCTAACCTCAACTGGACAGCAGGAGGCTGCCCTGAAAGTGGATGGGGCTCGCCACTCACCAGGACAGAGTACAGGTGAGAAGCCACCTGGCGTGGCCCCGGTGAGCTCCAACACAAAGTCCAGTTTCAACGACTCAGTTAACCTGCAGGCACTTCTGAAGGGGTCGAGAAATGCAAGTCTTTCTCTCGCTTTAATGCTTTCATTCAAATATTAAAAGACCTCCAGTCAAAATGAATCTATTTCACACGAAATCCTGATTTATGAGGCATTAGCCACATGAACAGAAAATTCATTTTTTTAAAGATTTGTTTATTTATGCATACAAGAGCTGGGGTACAGGCCAGAGGTGTGGGGGGTGAGAGGATTCACCAGAGACAGTGGGGAGCAGAACAGGCCGATCTACTGAAATACACTGCTGAGGGGAGCAGCGGGGAGACAGGAGAGAACCCCTTGCGCCACCAGGGAGGCCCCACATTCCTCTTCCTATTGCCAGCTCAGCCAGGACACGTGGAGACAAGGACAGCCACCATCACCAAGGGCTGCAGCCTCCATGACCCCCACCCCCCAAATGCCACCTGCTGATTGCTTCCTAGTTACAATCACTGAGAAAATGCTAAACACGCTTGTAAATAACCTGGTGAAGAAATCTCCCCGGTTTAGAATTTCTCTCCAGTTTTAACAATTGTCCTGCCATATTAACTTGATGGGGTTGCGTTTTTGTTATTATCTTGGGAGAGTCTGCCCAAGGCTCTAATTCACTCCCGTGGCAATGCAGTTCCTATTCTGCTGGTGCTTGTTTTTATTTGGTTTGCGCCATATCTGATGGGATCGTGCAGTTAGGGTGTAAGGAAGTCTGGAACGATGGATCAACACCTCGTTGGCAGCGCAAACCTACAGAAGGTGTAGCAGGGAGGGACCTGCACGTTCAGGTTTCACCTGGCGGAGGCACAGTCATGAGTCAATAAATCTTCAGCGGGAACAGAGGACGACAGGTAATCCGGTGAACTAATAACCGAACATCAGATAAAGGAGTTTTATTGTGTTTCCAGCTGACAGAAGGAAAAACTGAGGGACTGAAGATTCAAGTCACTTCACCTGACCTATACAGGACACGCGTTTATGTGGAAATTCCAAGCCTTGTCTAAGAAGGGGTAGAATAAAAATGGGCCATTACATGCCAGGGAACGCTGGATGCCCGGGGGGCGTCCGCGGGGACACGACAGCTACAGCAGGACGCAAGGAAGCTTCCTCCAAAGGAGGGACATGTCAGTGGAAGTGAAAATCACCAGGCAGGTGAGTGGGCTGAGAGAGGCCCAGGTAGGGGGACCAGGGACAGGGAGCCAAGGGCACGGAGCGCAGCATGCACAGAGGATGGGGAGCAGTTCTGAGAGAAGAGGGGGATGAGATTAAATATAATGAGGGGCCTCCCCGGTGGCGCAAGGGGGTGAGCACAGCGCTGTGAGTCTGTCCGCAGCCTCTGCAGCACGAGTTTGATCCCCGGCCAGGGAGCTACCCGCACGGCACGCAGACCTCCCCTGCCGCCCGCTGCTCCCCTCAGCAGTGGATTTCAGTGGATCCACCTGTTCTGCTCCCCACTCTGTCTGTGAATCCTCTTACCCTCATCCCCCTGCATCTCTGGCCTGTACCCCAGCTCTTGTATGCATCAATAAATAAATCTTTAAAAAATAATAACTGGGGGGTCTCCCCAGTGGCGCAGCGGTTGAGCGCTGGGTTGCAAAGCTGCCCGCGGCCTCTGCAGCGCCGGTTCGATCCCCGGCTGCTCCCCGGCCACCGGAGGAGGGCCCCACATGGCGCGCAGACCTCTCCTGCCGCCCGCTGCTCCCCTCAGCAGTGTCCTTCGGTCCTTCTGCCTGCTCTGCTCCCCGCTCTGGCTCTGGTGAATTCTCTCACTAGCCCGTGTATCTGGCCTGCACCCCGGCTCCTGCACGCAGAAATAAATCTTTTTTGAAAAAGCCAGCAGCACCGCTGCGCCCGCAGCATCCCCAACCGCTGCTCTGGCTCCACCACAGTCGTGGCGCGGCGCAGAGTGGGTCAAGCCTCATTGCCCCCCGCACGCGCCCCCAAGCCCCCCGCGCGGCCCCCGCTCCGTGGCGGGGGACGAGGTTCAGCGTCCGCGCCGCCCCCACCCCGGGGTGTGTCCCTGGAGCCGGGACCTCGGCCCCGGCCGCGCCGCGCTCGGGGAGCAGCGGGTCACACTCTTCTCGGACTCGGGCGTCGGGGCCGCCCGGACGACGACGCCCACTTAACTTTGCTCCCCGGAGCCGCCCCGCGCGCCCCGAGCGCCGTCCCCGCCCGCGCGCGCCCCCCCTTCTCCGCGGCCCCCCCACGCGCGCGGCCACTCGGGCCGCGAGGGCGGGCAGGCACCCCGAGTCCCGGCCCCGGCCCCCCACCCCCGGCGGCCGCGGGGGGCTGCCCCTGTTACCGTCACGTGGCCGCGCGCCCGGCGGCCAATGGGCGCGCTCCGCCGCCTGCGCGCCCCGCCTCGGCCCGCTGCGCCCCGACTTCGCGCTCGGCCCCGGAGCAGCCGGAAAAGTTTCTCTCGCGGCCGGAGCGTCGGGGCGCCGCGGCGGCGAGGGACGCCTGCGTGGGGAGCCCGGGACCGAGCCCGCGGCGAGGAGCGCGGGGCCGAGCGGGGAGCGAGCGCCGGCCGAGCCCCGCCGAGGCCCGGGGCGATGGGCACCCCGAGGCTGGGCGCCCGGGGCTGGGCGCGCTGGGGCTGCTGCTGTGCGCGCTGCTGGGGCGCGCGGGCCCCGCCGAGGCCAGTCCCCGCGGGGCGCCGGGGCAGCGGTCCTGGGGCGCCGCCGCGGCCCGCCCGTGCCCCGCGCCCTGCCGCTGCGCCGGGGACCTGCTGGACTGCGGGCGCCGGCGGCTGCTGCGCCTCCCCGAGCCGCTCCCGCCCGGGGCCGCCCGGCTGTAAGTACCCTGGGGCGGGCGGGGGCGCGGGGGGCCGGCGCCCCCGGCGCTCTCGGGGAGGGACGGAGCCCGCGGAGCCTCAGTTTCCCGCCCCGGGCCTCGCGCGCTCGGGGGCGCTCCGGGGCGCCCCTCCTGGCCTCGCGCGGGGACGGGAGGGACCCCCGGCCGCCCCGGCCTCCGCGCCCCGCGCCGGGAGCGCACCCCGAGCCCCGGCCGCGGGCCCGCGCAGCCTGTCCCGGGCGCGCGTCCCGTGGCCGCGGGGGTCGCGAGCTCTGCTCTGGGGGCCCCTCCGCGGAGCCCACGCCGCGGCCGCACAGCCTCGGGCAGTTCCTGCCCCGTGTTTAATTTCGAATTGGGGCGCCCGGTGAACCCCCCGTCCCCGGCGACCAGCTGGGGCCTGTGCTGGCGCAGGAAGGGGCGCAGAGCTCCCCGAGGATGTGCGCAGACAAGGAGGAGAGTTTGCAGAAGCAGCGGCTGGTTCCGCAGCTCCCCGCGGGCTGGGGGTTGAGGGGAGCCCCGGGGGGGGGCTGTGCAAGTTTTCGGACCCTTGGAGACAGGCCGTGAAGTGTGGGAACCCGAACCCGAAACCACCGCCAGCTGCCCGGAGAAGCAGGCCGAACATGGAGGGGGGTCGGAGAAGGGGCGCTTTCTCCAAGTGTCAGCTCGCATCCTGGCGAAGCCCTCCTTTTAGTGAAGCTGGAGGACTTGGGCGTCATGTAAAGCAAAAAAGCAAACCTTGTTTTTCTTCTTTTAAAAAAAAAAATAGCCTGTCTGAGCCACGGACGCGAAGTCTGTCCTCCATCCCTTGAGCTGGGCCTGCTGGACACTGGAGTGGCCGCGGGGCTTGGAGGGTTTACGCAGTTGCAGTGGACTCTTGGCGAGGGCCTCGGACAGGGGTAGACAATTTGGGCAGGTAGTTGAAGAAGTTGTGTTTCTGGAAGCATCCTGCCGCCCAGCATCGGTGTGGGTGAGTTGTGGAGTTGGTCCCCGCGGAAAGCGTCTTCTTGGTGTGTTGGCAACTCTACTTCAATACTAAAAAAAAGTAGAATTCCCGAGTTGGAGGTGGTTGTGGTTTAATCCCGTCTCCTGGATCTTGTGTAGGGGTTTTTATTACAGCTGGAGCAGGAGATAGGCCTTTATCCTCGAGCAGGAAGACTTTCAATTAGTTGTGGCTAATTCTTTTCAGTGGCCTCTGGTGGAGGTCATGCCGCCTTCTTCACGCCATGTGAATGGCTCTATTGACAACAGATGGAACCCAAGGCTGGCATGGCTGGAGCTGGACACCTCTGAATAATAGAGAGATGAGGGAAGAAAAGGGACGCAGTGTCCCCTGGCTGGCGTGGAGAAACTGGGGTCATCCACCCAGTGGGACTTGCCGTCCGTCATTTTCCCAGTGTGTCGAGGCCTACGGGATGAGGTCCGGGATGTCTTTGAAAAAGTAACTGTATCGCTCTTGATTAGCAGTTGAGTTACACCAAAAGGCGTTGGATAGCCATTGAAACGTTGTCTTAAAAGTAGCTGACCTGGTTAGGATTTTGTTTTGCAGATAATTTGGTGGCGCACTCAAAACAAATTGCAGCTTATTTGGTTAGCACAATCTTTAATTACATTTCCGCCAGCAGTAAATTGTCCCAATGCAAGTCCACATTCCTTAAATGTATGTGAAAATAAGTTCCACTTGTATAAATAAGCACGAGGTCTGCTGTCAGGAGTCCCGCTGTGATCACTCATTGGGCAGCTCGGTCATCCTTGGGCTTGTGTGACTTTTAACCAACTTTGTAGTTGTCCCCAAATCTCGTGGTCGCAAGTCTCTATTTAGAGGGCGGCTTTTGTGCGGCCTAAAGCTTTAGAGATCGTCTGGCTCCGTCTTCGGAAGGAGCAGAAAAACATGTGGAGTTGAGCTTCCATGGCTGTGTTGCTTGGAGTTTGGGGGAGGCGGTCCTGGCTGCTTTTACATAGCCAGAAAAGCTTTTAAATAGACTTTCCGTGTTCAGAAAGAAACAGGAAAGTCCATGTTGTGCTTTCTCCTATCTTAACTGGTGTAATTAAGATAGAAAAGTTTGTCTGAGGTCTGATTTATGAGTGTGCTATTCAGGAAAATTTAATATCTATCTTTTGTTGAATTTGCAAGCTGAAAAAAATCAATTTATTATAGGAGAGAGTGTGTGTGTGTATTCTCATTTTATTTGGCTGTCACTTACTGCTCTAAGTGCCCCCGTACAAGAAATTGGGTAGGTAAAGCTGCAAAATAATATTGCAGTTTTTTCGAGGAGTAACTTCTAACACTTTGATGAAAGTGGCTCTTAAAACAATAAGTATCTGAAGCGTGGCTTACGCTGCCTTTGAAGGCCGCCTGACACTTACATCTGGGGCTTGTGCTTGTGAAGCCTGAGCAGATAGAGGCGTGCTTGTTGGAAGATGTGGCTTAGCCAAAAGAGCGAGAGGTGGCTCGAGTGGCAGCGAGAGCTTCAAATATTGTTAAAATCTCCCTGGAATTTCAGAATGATTTATCTTATCGCACAGAAATGTTTGAGTTAGCTGAGTTCAGGCGAAAGTCCGAAAGGTACTTTCTACCGCTGTGGCGTCTTTAATATTCTCCTGGTACAAATCCTCCGGTCGGAACCAGAACGGGGCCACGGTGGGGGTGATAGTCCTTATGGTTTTCACAGCTGTTTTTCTATATTTTCCAGACTAAAACTTGCACATAGCAGTCTGATTTATGAGTCACTTTGGATCAGTGTCTTAAAACAGCTACAGCCTGGCTTTTTGTTTTTCAGCTTTTCCAGATTTCTGCTGAATTAGCAGCTCTGTGGGCCCCAGTGGGATTGATTAAGAAGCTGTGCTGGATTTGCATTGTAAAATTTGACTTGGAAGTCAGATTTCCAAATGCTAAAAGGAAGAAAAATGATAGCTGGAACCAAATGTTGCAGATTAATTGTCTTCATATATATTTACTCGTTTGCTAATATGCAGGGAGGCTTCACTCTATCTGGTAGAGTTTGATTTTCTAGTATTTGGTCAGCTGAACTCTGGGTAAATAGCACCTTCCTGTACACCACCTTCCCCATGCTTTAACCTCAGGACCAGAAAAATTCTCTAGAAAGGTTTCCTAGGGAAGAGGCTTATTACTGGAACTCTAATAACAACGAATCTGCTTTCCCTGTTGAATGCTCTTCTGGGGTTAAGGAAACACTGCCATGTACAACTTGAAGTTGTTTTTAACCAGACTAACCATAAAAAAAAAAAAAAACAATATAAGGAAGATCTGGGAAAATGTGACATCCTTTAATTGGAAAGTAATCATTTCTGAAACATAATTGTATTAAACCTAAATTGAGGTGCATTTAAAAGTTTCATGGCTTTGAGTGTTTTAGCAGTAAAAGTCACTTACGGGTGATTTTTTTCCCCTCCTATATATAATGTGGTTTTAATGGTATACAAAATTCAGGCACGCAAGTGTGTTGCAAAAACTGGAATATTTACGGTTGCCAGCTCCTGCTTCTGGGCCAGACATGAGGGCCCCCAGAATCTATCTGTTTTCTGACATCAGCTTCTCCATTTAAAGGCCTGCTGTTGGGGAGCTCCTCCCCATTACTGGTTGAAAAAAAAGTCAAGCACTCTCTTCTCTCAGGATTGCCTTGTGAAATAATCCTTAAAATGCAGCAAAGAGTGTGGTTTGAGTTTTTCTCATTAAAAAGAAAAGCACCTGTATTAAAAACAAATGCCAGACGCCACCCCCCCTTTTCTTTCAAAACTTAAAACAATAGGGATTCAATGTTCTTCAGCCAGTGGGTCCAAACAAGACTTTCTGTTGGTTCAGGCCACCTCCCAGGTGAAGGACGCTTTTCCTCTGTTGTTTTTTAAGCCCTGTGGGAAATCTGGGACTGTCTGTGGTGCTAAAAGCACACAGGTTTTGTTTGAATCCTAACGTGAGTTGTTGGGTTCCTTGATGAACTCCAGATGGAGTGAGCTGGGCTGGGAGGGAAAGTGTCTGGCTCCAGCATGGTGAGCGTGCACAGCAGTGGTGTAATTGCAGGATTTTTATAGTTTAAAGACTGTGCCAGATTTTTTTTCATGTTCTAACTCTACCAGAACAAATCTACTCATGTCTGTTACTGTCTGGTAGGTCTTTAGGCAAACATGTTTCAAATAAAACCTTTGCAGGTTTTTTTTTGTTTTTTTTTTTTTGAGGTAGACGAGAGAGATCCAGGTTTATTCTCAAAACAAAAATTCCGAGACTGAAAGGATCTCTAATTTCTAATTGTAAACTAATGGACAGGCACTAAGGAATAGCTTGCCTCTCTGGATGTGGTTTCTCTGCCCTTTTGGGGGGGCATACTTTGCAGAGAGCAAAGCGTTCATGCTTCTTCTCCAAGTCTAGTTATCTAAAACATGGGTTGTTTAAAATTCTTCCTTTTTTAAACAGTGAAAGAATGACTTTAGTGAGGGTTGGCTCACCTCCCTTAGAGGGAGGCCTCTAAGCCATACTGTTTGCTGACCTGGTTTTAATAGCTGTTCAGCCATTTCATTTTTATTACACCATTTTGAAGACACATGTTCAGTGCGTTGACGTATCGGGACGATAAACAAATAGTTGCTGGGTTTTGTTTCATATTTTGAATTTAAATGCTGGGATGACTTATGTGTAGACAAGTTTTGGTTGACTTCAGAAAAAGTGACTGATGTCCTATGGAAATTGCTACAGAGACGGACTCTTTGAGTAAGGAAGCCAGTTGATTTTAAAGAAAGCTGATCACAAGTTTCTATACAGCATGCTTGACTTTGTTAGGTAGTTGATGGAGTTTAAATGATACATGATATTACCATATGCTGAGAATTGGGGAATCCAGGAATTCGGGTAAAGAAGTAAAGAGGGTTTCAGGCTATTTTCTGTCCTCAACACACACACACACACACACACACACACACACACACACACACTTTTTAAATAACTTAGTGCCTTAACCCGGAGAAACAAATAGGACTGAAAAGCAATTTCTTAAGGATACTGGCGTTTAATTTTATGATAATAAATAGGTTTCTTCGGAGGTTTTAGTTTCAGCAACCTGCCTAATTAGCCACTTTTCATAACCCATGACTTAATCATATCAAATTGGAAGTGAGAACGAGGAGGGAGAGGCGCGGGTGAAGCAAAACAAGCAGTTCACAAAGGTCTGTTCACTCCGTGCCAAAAAACATCTCCTGAAACATTTGTGGGCTTAAAGCATTTGAATCCACCCGCCTCATAAACTAATTTTGTCCTCAGAGTCTGATTTTTTGAGTTTGGCACTTTGGTTACCATCTAGATTCTGGACAGGGTGGACCGATTATTTCTTGCATTGTCACCAGTGTAGACAGAGATGTTTCTTCCCTCAACCCATCCCGTCTTACACACCCCATGACGCGCTGTAGTGATTTTAGGAAACTACTTACAATTTTATTTTTGTTTTCTCCTAGAGACTTAAGTCACAACAGATTGTCTTTTATCAAGGCAGATGCCATGAGCCATCTTCAAAGTCTTCGCGAAGTGTAAGTCTTAATTATTCTCTATTTGAGGTTTGAACTAAATATACTACCCTGCACACTATTTAAGGAATATTTGGAGTCCATAAATTATTTAAAATGTTGAACTTGGGAGGGATCTTTAATTCTGCAAAGTTTTCACCTATATGAATTACAGATTACCTAATGAGCTTTTCTTTTTTTGTCATTTATAGGAAACTGAACAATAATGAATTAGAGACTATTCCAAACCTGGGGCCAGTCGCAGCAAATATTACACATCTTTCCTTGTAAGTGAACGCTTGCAGGGGACCATGGGGCCATGGGTAGCTTGTGGGTTTAAGATCTTACAAGCAAAATATGAATACTTCTGCTGATGTATAATGGAGAAGATTTTTCTTTGTATTTTGTTGACTTGTTTTCTAGCTCACTCACTCTTAGAATCCTAAGTTTGAAGTATTGTCGTAAGAACACATTTTTTGCTATCATTTCTCAACTGGTCTCCAAGCTCAGAGAAGTTGCCTTCCCCCAAGACGTGTGTTTGATTATATTCCGTAGATTAGGACTTTAACTCCCCTGTTACTCAATGGCTGGCATGGGATCTATGGATTAAAGTATTACACAGTTTAGTGGAGAATTGCTTTGTGAGAAATTGGAGTTGGTCATAAGGCGTTGGGGTATCCACTTTTAAAGGGCCTGTGATGAACATCATGGTTCAGAAACATTAAATCAAACATTAATTCTGTACAATTAAAATTAAACATGTGATTGAAGTTCCATGTCATTGCAAGCTAAACTTTGCAAATATGACTTTTCCATTAAAATTATGTTACATGTTCAGTATCTGTAAGTCAGAAAACATGTTTTATGTTCATGCCTTTGAGATGTTTGGGAATAATGTCTAAGCTCCAACATTTCATGGTAAAACTTAGAATGCTCATAGTTTCTAAAGTTAGTTCACCACCTTCATCTAGGAGAATTAAAAAATACATCTAAGCCACTGAAGTTAAAAGTGTTTCCTCCTTGAAACAACTTGAATTAAAAAAAGCACTATTTTCAGTTGCTTCTGGGAAAGGTGTTAGGAGGGTTGAAATTATATAGTAAATTTCAGGAAAGCTGTTCAATTAATTAAAGTGATCACTACCCAATTGCTTACAGCTGGTGGCTTATAGAGGTTTGTTTTCACTGAGGCCCAGGTCAGCTAAGTCACGGGTGTAGCCTCTGCTCTGCGCTCCTCTGTTTGAATAAGAGCTAAGTGACATTTGATACTGATGTGGTTTTTGCCAAGATCAGAAACAGAAAGGAATGAAAGAAAAAGCAGTTGGTATTTGACAAATAAACACCGAATTTAAAAAACTTTATGCTAGCATTAATACCTGTTTTCTTTGTGACTATTCTGCCGTCTAAATGGAGTACTGGCTTTGGTGTCTTTATTTTAAAGATTTATTTATTTGTGCGTACAAGAGCTGGGGTGTAGGCCAGAGGTGTGGGGGGTGGGTGTAGGGGGGTGAGAGGATTTACCAGAGACAGAGTGGGGAGCAGAACAGGCCAATTGACTGAAATCCACTGCTGAGGGGAGCAGCTGGGAGACAGGAGAGGTCTGCTGCGCCCTGTGGGTCAGCTCCCTGGCCGGGGATCGAACTCGTGCTGCAGTGGCTGCAGATAGTTTGATAGTGCTGAGACTTTAACCCCTGTGCCACCAGGGAGGCCCTTGTTAGCTGTTCTCATTTGACCACCAGGGTCTTTTTAAGTCCCAGAGAACACCCCTTGGCCCTGTCGCCTCTGGCCTGGGGACTGGCAGGTCCTGCTGGCATGTTCTGGAGCCTGGAGGTCATGCGTGCTTGGTGGCCCAGAGGTCTGCGGTGGCGTGGGCACTCTGGGCGGAGCGGGAGGCAGGCCAGTCTTCTCTTTAGCCTGGCACAGCGTGGAGAGCATGAGAACTGGGGAGGGAATGAGAAAACCCGACTAGAAATAATTAACTTCGTGATTTTACACTTAACAACTGAAATAAAATCCGGAAACGGAGAACCCTTCGAAATGTGACCTCTTTTCTGCGTTTTTGTATGTTTCCCTTTAGTGCGTTCTGCATGATCTTTCATGAACCTAAATAATCCTCTTTCTTTCCTCTTAATTTGTTGGCGGATGTCTAACCACGCTGGCTTTATTCACCTTATATAATAAGAGGGCCTGCTTATTACACAGAATCTGAGAAGAGTAATTTACATGACGGGCCTGCTAATTCAATACAGGGTGAGACGCTGTTCCCGTAAATACCTACGCAACATTTTGAATTTACTTCTCCGGCTGTTTTTTCCTATGATTTTTTATTTTCTCCTGTAAACTTTGGTGGCTGTTGCAGCACACCATCACTGAGTCCAAACCGCGGATGATTTGTATCTTGGGGAGGGCAGGATGTTTTCTGTAGACGCACACGGAAATTATCAGAGCTCAAAGTCAGCACTTCGATATATTTCTGAGATTTCAAAAACAAAGAGAGAAAACTGTACAGCCACATGACATGGCTCAGATTAGGACTTCATCGTAGCACTACAGTCGAATCGGATCTCCTGTCTGTCAAACTAGCGATCAGGATGATTTGACTTGTCTTTTCTCTTGCTTTTAAGTATTCGTGGAGGAAAACCTCTTTCTGGGTAATTTGCACAAGTTAAATCATTTCGAAAACTTGTGTTAAAGGAAAGGAAAAGTCGGTTGGAGTCAATGCTGTCTGATATTGCTGCTCTGCATGGTGAGTCCCCTCCCAGCTGGGGGGGCCAGTTGCAGAGAGGACTTCACCTGGCCAGACCTTCTTCCTTCTTAGTTGCAGGAGCCAGGAGCTAATATTGGCTCAGATGGTGCCCCCTGTGCAGAGATGAAGTCACTAGGGATCAGATCTCATCGTGTCAGGGAAGCCTGAGGCAGTGCCAGCTCTTGGGATGGTGGTTGGATGAGCCTGGAACATTCCCATTAACAAAGCTCATTGCTAAGCTTTTTAAGGATCTTTCAAAAATGTGAAAGACCCAGACAGACCTGCTTTCCTCTGGATCCCACACAGAACGAGGTCAAGACTCAATTGGCCTGCACAGGGGAAGACATGGCTTGTGTTGTTTATTTTTCTCTCACAATTGCCTGGCCATGGCAGGATGGTGTTTTCTAGGGGAAGAAAGGAAATAGTCACTGGTGGAAACATCTTGTAGTGAAACTTTTTTTTTAAAAGTTTTATTTATTTATGCATACAAGAGCTGGGGTGCAGGCCAGAGGTGTGGGGAGAGTGAGAGGGTTCACCAGAGACAGTGGGGAGTAGAACAGGCAGATGTACTGAAACCCACTGCTGAGGGGAGCAGTGGGGAGACAGGAGAGGTCTGCTGCGCCATGTGGGTAGCTCTCTGGCCGGGAATTGAACTCATGCTGCAGTGGCTGCGGATAACGCTTCATAGTGCTGCATCTTAACCCCTTGTGCCCCCAGGGAGGCCCGTTGTTGTAAAACTGTTGACCTCACAAGAGTTGACTTTTCAGTTCTGGCTTCCTGTGATGCAGCATGAGCTGCTCAAGTGGCAGGAGTTTTGATGACCAGGCCCTGGATCAGGACAGGTTTGAATCTGTGGCCGACATAACAGTATTGCTGAGCAAAAGATAACTCACTGTTCATTAAATACAACTAACTGGGCCTTGGTGTTGACACTGAAGGTTTCCAGAGTCGTGTACAATGTGCAGCTACTTGTCTGTGTTCTCTGAGTTGAAAAGTTTCAGGTCAGTGAGTGTCAGAGGGGCACCTTGAGTACTCGTTAAACACGGGGATTTCTTGACCCCATCCTTAGAGATTCTGAACGAGTTGGTTTGCTCAGGGATATCTGTTTAAACACAGCTGCCTTGTTGGTTCTGATCACATGTAACATGCATGTTTCTGGAGTTATTGCTAAGCCTCAGCTTATCCTAACCAAGCAAGCCTTTTTTTTTTTTATATTTCTTATCTCACATGTAGAATATTCCTTCTAAGTCCATCATTTTCATCATATCCTTGCACATCATACCATTTTTCCGGAGGTGCCGCCATCCTTCCAGAGAGAAATATTGATCACTTTTTTTTTGAAGCAAGTCAAATTTTTATTGATAAGCGATAAAGTTGTTCTGCATCCCATACTGCTTATTATGGGCAACAAATATCAATTTTATTGGTCATTCCTGCTATTGTATATATTTTAAAATATATTAACATGAATGCTTAAAATTTATCTCTAGTTTTGACGGGACCTCAACAGGTGAGCTCTGCTCATGGGAAGCAATCAAATAGATTTGAAGCAGGGGGCGGTGAGACTTGCTGTTGAAAGCGTCACTCTGGCTGTCGTGTGGAGAAGGGACCGGAGGTGGCAGGAGGTGGCTCATGGGGGCAGATACTGAGGAGACCCTGGTGGGCCGGGGCTGCTGGTCTCCGCTCACGGCGGGAGGGCGTTGATGAAAACCCCCGCTCCAGGCCCAGGGCCTGGAGCCACAGCCTGCTCTCTCCTCTGCTGGGCGTGTGCCCGCGGGCAAGCTTCTGTCCGTCCCCTCACCTGTAAACCGAGGCTATTAGTGTCTCACTCGTAGGGCTGTTTGGTGGATTTGCAGAGAGAAGCAGGGGAAGCCGCCTGTTGTCCGCCGAGGCCCGGTGAGGTGGCCGCGAGCGCAGTGGTGCTGGGCTGCTGAGTCCGTGGAGCCCGTGGCGCAGCTTCTGTTTTCTGTCCTGGGGACACGACCCCGAGCCCCGCACACAAGCTCCGCTCCTCAGGCTGCTTACGAAGCTTGCATTCTAGTGAAGGCTGAGGGAAAATAAGTAACCTTTAAAAGAAAAGAGCTGCCATGTTTAAATGAATGTGAAGGAAGAGAAAGGAGGCCACAGGGCTGGTGGGCTCGGGCGCCGGGCCCGCGTGCGTCAGACAGAGCCGCTTCGTGATGAGTCACCAACTCCTGCTGGGCCGGGTCTCTCTTCCGTCCAGATGCAACTGTGAGCAAAACAGGCAGAAATCCGTGGTCTCGTGAAGCTGACCTCGCGGGAGAAATGCAACAGGTAAAATAAGAGACGCAGGAGAAGCGGTGAGCGCGGGAGGAAAGAAAGCAGAGAGGAAACAGAGGGAGTGAGTGTGTGTGGCAGGTAAAGGGGCTTTGACTTTTTTTTTTAAGATTTGCTTTTATTTATTTATGCATAGAAGAACTTCGGTGCAGGCCAGAGGTGCAGGGGGTGAGAGGATTCACCCCAGACAGAGTGGGGAGCAGAACAGGCGGATCCGCTGAAATCCACTGATGAGGGGAGCAGCGG